TGGCTTTGGAGGGGCAGGGGAGAGTTGAAAGCTCTCTTTTGGATGAGAAAGCAAGGATCAGTTCTCCAGGGGATATTTACCATAAAGACCTGGGCCCCTCTGAGTAACAAAAGGGAGGTTTTTCTTCTTTGCTCGCTCCTTGTTTTCCTTGTTTCTTCCTTTTCTCTCCCTTCCCCTCTCCCCAGCATACACTATGGCTTTTGGTACAACTAAGCGTTTCTCCCTGTAAGGTAATTCAAATTACTCTACTCTCACTAAAGAACCTTCCCAGTAATGGAAACTGTTGGAATTAACAACTAGAAAGTGTACTGAAAGCTTAGAGTGATAAGCTAAGCTCATGTGGCGAAATGAGACCTGACTTTTACTATGTATATTAGACACAGCTGTATTTTTGTCTTTTTGTATCTTTAGCTTTTCTTGATTATCAGAATAATAATAGCACATTTCTGCAGCTGCAGAGAAGGAAAGCAGAAACAATTTGGCTCTCATCATGCTTCTCAGAGAATAACACCATTAGCCTCAGGTGTGTGGTTCTTCTTGGCATTTTTCTACGTATTTTTTGAGATCATTCTATGCGTAGACACTATGTGATTTTGCATCTTGCCTTTTGGCACTTATCATTTAGCACAAATGCCTTCCTTCCAGCCTCCCTTCACTTACGGGAGTATGCCATCATTTGCTAAACCATTAATTCCCTTCCTGTTATTCACTTAGGTTGTTTCCAGCTTTGTTTGTTACTTTCGTCATTGTATGTTACCCTTCCGTGGCGAGCGATGCTGCTGTTCTGAAATATGATTTCACGTGGTTGTAAAAAATTAAGGCCCACCTTCCCCAAACCCCAAATGCACCTGTACCTGTGGTTTTCACATCCCCTGGGGCTTCGGCTTTTGCTAAAGTGCTCACAATCTTGAGGTCAGGGAAGAGGATCACTCCTCTGGCACTTTCAAACTGGGCTGCAGGTTTCCAGAAGCTGTCTGTCCCCCGGAGGGTGATCTGGGGCTCGATGGCCTGCAGGACCATCACATAGGCGTCTATATCAGGGATGGTGATGCACACATCTTCCCCAAAGCACCTGGGAAAACAGCTTCCGTCATGGCACTGATGAGCAAACCATTAAACCATCAAACCATCCATCACACAGTCACGGACAAGGAATTGCTACCTCTAGTCCTTACCAAGGCATCCTGAGCTCCTGCACTCTCTCAGGATGTCAACAGACAGTCAAATTTAAATCTACCTTCTAATCAAAACTGCTGGTGATCTTGTGACTTAAATGATTGGCTCCTGGGAGAAATGGGAATTTTCTGTATGCGCGATAAGTAACCATTAAGCCCGTCATTGTCCTTTAACTGAGGAATCAATGGCGACATTAATTAAACAGCAACTGCTTATTCTGTACACTGGAATTTGTTAAGCAAATTGTTGTCTAACTGGTTGGTTACAGCCATCTTACTAATTGAGACCCCAGGGCTAAAATGTCCTGCCACAGAGTATGTGTTCTGTCTCTATGGGGACATCTCACAAGTGCACCTTTTCTAGATATGAGAGCACAGTGCCATTGTAATCAGCTTCTCTTTTCCTCATGTGTTATCTCAAAAGTATCTGGGAGGCAGAGTGGTGTGAAAACAAGACCAGGGCCTGAGTGCTTATATAGACAAGGATCCAGCCCACTGTGGGGCTGGGTGGCTATGGACAATGTACGTGACTCCTGTGAACCTCCATTTCTTTATCCATCCAACACGATAATGATGACTGCCCTGCAGTGGCCAGGTTTCAAAGCAGACAGTGTCTAGAAAACAAGCTGACCATCTCACCTTCAACTCCACGAATGTTGGTTAATCTGCCTCTCTCACTGGGCATGTGTGTCATTGGCACTCCCTGTTGGTCAAAAATGTAGGCTAATTTGGAGGGCACTGGGGCCAGACAGATGCTCTGGGGGTTCTCGGTGGGTTCCAAATGGTGGCAGCTACCTTGGGAAGGTTCCCAGAAGAGGGTAGTCTAGGTATACCCCATACAGATATGACTCTCCAGTCTCTTCTGTGGGAAGGGTGTGATGTGGGAGCTGTGCTGGGCTCTCGTTCCAGGTTCTCTGCCAGCCAACCCCAGGCACTCTGCTCCCCTCAGCACTTTATAGAATCGGTCCCATCTGGTCTCTCATCTTCACTCTAATGTGGTGTTAACTTGGGGTACCTGCTCCCTACCACTGGGCCTCCAAGGGTGGGAGTACCCCCTCCATTGCTCTGAACTGCCACCTGTGGGCTTTATCCCAGCACCTTGCCCAGGTCCCAGCAGACCCATCTTTCCCACCCTTTTCCCTCTCTGAATCCTTCTCCTGGTACTCTAGGTGCTGTGTGGCTCCACTTACACCTCCCAGGAGTCCTTCTGGAATCCCTCCTGCTAGTTATACTCCCAGGGAGCTGCTGTGGCTGAGAAGTAACTCCATGGCCCAGAAAGTGAATCTAAAGGATTCAGCACTAATCTCGTCTAATTAATTTAACTCTGATCCATGAGGACAAGAGCCATGCCCTGTCTTTCTCTGGCATACTTATGGTACTTGGGAACTCTACTGTACTGGGTTGGTTAACTTAATTCAATTTAATAAACATTTGTCATGCACCTACTACATGCCAGGTGCTATGTCCTTAAATCAGATTGCTTCAGACTCAGCTCCTTGAGAATTTATAGCAAGAAGCACCTTCTAGGCACTAGATCAGATGCAGAACAAAATAGAGAAGGTAGATTTGAGTTGTCAAAACAACAGAACATTTTCCTTAAAAAGTAAACAGAAGGAGAACATATATCTGGCAAAGCATCTTCATAGGGCCAGCAGAGGAGGTGAGGACAGCTGAGGAAAGGCAATTCAGATTGCAAGGGCACGTTCCCCAGGGACCAACCCTGCAGCCTCAGCTGGGCTCCAGAATACCCGCGTCTACTCACTGGACTTTGGAGGAGACTTTGAGGCGCCGCACACCCGCTGTGGGGAACTGCCTGGAGTTGATGTAGGAGACCTTCTGGAGGGCATGGTTAATGTTCCCCACATCATCTCCTTCCATTACCAGCGTGGACTGTGATGGGTTGAAGTGATACTAGAAGACAGAAGTGGGTATCATGGGAGAGAATGATCAGAGATATGTGTAGTACTGTGGAAGCCTCCATCTCCGTGAAAGGCCACTGAGGCCACCATGGGCACCTCAAGAGCATGTGCAGGTGAAAACGTTGTATGCATAGATGATTGTTTTTAACCTCTCAAGCCATTCCAACCACTTTCTAGTGGGCTTTGGGACCTTCCCTGTGAAGTTTCCCCAGGGATTGAGCCTGATAATATTTGGATTCTGAAAACCCAGTCACAGTGCTCTTGCAGCCCAGACCTCGACAAGGTGTGACACGTGCTCTGTGTTCCCTGGTAGGCCAGACCAACAACTTCTAGCCCTGGGACTCCTCACACTCTTAGCTTTTGGCTCAGAACTTGAGCTTGGATCCTTTTGCTGCCCTTGTATAAACTGTTCCCAAACTCATTCTACTTCCTCGTCCATGCCCTATCTTCTTAGTTTTCAACTTTAAAACCTATTTTTCTGGCAACTGCAACAACCAAAATAAACAAATGGGACTTAATTAAATTGAAAAGCTTCCACACAGCTAAGGAGACAACAACCAAAGCAAATAGACAGCCATCAGAACGGGAAAAGATATTTGCATATTATGAATTGGACAAAAGCTTGATAACTAGTATCTACAGAGAACTCAAATTAATCAACATAAAAAATCCAACAATCCCTTATATCAATGGGCAAGAGAGATGAATAGAACCTTCTCTAAAGATGACAGACAAATGGCTAACAAACATATGAAAAAAACGCTCATTTTCCCTAATTATCAGAGAAATGCAAGTCCAAACCCCCCTAAGATACCAACTAACCACAGTGAGAATGGCTCTCATCACAAAGTCTTAAAGCTGCAGATGCTGGCGTGGGTGTGGAGAGAAGGGAACACTTTTACACTGCTGTGGGGCCTGCAAACTAATACCTTTTTGGAAGGAAGTATGGAAAACCCTCAAAGAACTCAAACTAGACCTTCCATTTGATCCTGTAAATTCATTACTGGATATTTACCCAGAAGAAAAAAAATCATTTTATCATAAAGGCATTTTACTAGATTATTTATTGTAGCTCAATTTACAACTACCAAGCAGTAGAAACAACCTAAATGCCTACCAGTCCAGGAATGGATTAACAAATTGCAGTATATGGATACCATGGAATACTATTTAGCCACTAAAAATGTTGGATTTGCATTATCATTTGCATTAATCTAGATTGAGGTGGAACACATTCTTCTTAGTGAAGCGTCATAAGAATGGAGAAGCAAGGATCCAATGTACTCAATTCTGATATGAGGATAATTGATGACCTAGTACATAGTGGGGAGTGGGGGAAGGGGGAAGTGGCAGGAGGGAAGGAGGGAAGGGGTAGGGGTCACAGTGTGTGATATACCTCTTGGGGGCAGGACACAAGCATAAGAGGGACTTGACCTAACACATGCAATTGGTGTAACCTGGTTCTCTGTACCCTCAATGACTCTCCAACAATAAAACAAACAAACAAACAAACAAAAATAACTTATTTTTAAGTTACTGGCTTTCTTTCTTTCCAAATCTGTCTGATTCTTTGTCTTGCTCTCCTAGTGCTGAACTCTGGTTGTCCATGTGTTTTATTTATGTTTATGTACCTGCCAGTGGCCCTGAGCTTATCTAACTGCTCTAGCCTGAGTTCTTGTTATCTCATACTGGTGAAAGCCATGTGCCTACAGTGCTCCCACTGGGTCACCCGGGTCCCCAGGCTAGATACAGCCTCTTGCTTCTCCCTGTGCCCCCCACCCTGGCAGTTACTCCTCCTGACTGAAACAGGGAGAACTGTCTTTGCACTGCTCTGAGATGCTGACCCTGACCTACTTCTGAGTAAGAATGATTAGGAATTGCTATCAGAAAGGTATCTGTGGATTTAGATTATGGGTTGAATGTTCATGGCACAGGAAAGGGAGACATGATTACATTTTAAAGTAGCTACTGGACTTAGCAATTATTTACTTTTTTGATTAGTATAGTCACATATTCAAATATATTTATATATGTTAAGTGAAAAGTGTCCATCTTATTCCATCCACCCAGTTCCCATAATCCCATCACATAAATAATCACTATTATAGTAATTTCTTAGGGGCAAATTGCATTATTGTTCATAATTAGTTGCCTCCCCTTCCATGGGAGGCTTATATGTACACACACCAGCCCTGCTGTTAACGGCCTGCTCCTGTGATTTATGGCACACTTTCCTTCACCACGTACATTTTTGCCTCGTTGCACACAGTAGTGGTCATGTGACTTGCTTGGGCAATGAACTACGGGCAGGAGTACTATTTGGTTCACAGCCATATGGAAGATTTAATAACCAGTTCACAGTTTGCCATGTTCCTTTCTCTCTGCCACGAAAATGGCAAAATTCTCTTAAAGCCTAGTCCATTAGCCTGGGTTCCACAGTGAGGGTGGTATGAATCAGAGCTGCATTCAAGTTATAATGGTGCAAAGTAGGAGCGGTAAGGAAAATGTTGTATAAGCCACTGAGATGTTTAATCCTTTGTTACTGTAGCGTAACCTGGCCTAGTCTGACAGTTACACGCAAGCATTCTTATAAATACATAATCAGTGAATAAAGATTTCCACTTTTTCTCCTTCCTTATACCGAAAGTATCTCATTACATAATGTATCATACTTTCCTTTTTTGACTTGTCTTAGATCTTAGAGATCTTTATCGGTATATGACAAGCTTCCTCATTCTTTAGTGAATGTAAAGTATTCCATTCTATAGATAAACTGTAATTTTTTAAACCAGTCTCATAATGTGGACATTTAGATTATTTCTGATTTTTTACTGATGACATCAGAATAATCTTGTACACACAACATTTCGGAGGTGTGCAAATACATAGTATATCTGTAGGATAAATCTTTTCAAGTAAACCTGCTAGGTCAAAGAGTCTATGCCTTTTAACTTTGATAAATATTGCCACATTCCCATTCCTAGGGATTATATCAATACACACTCCTAACAATAAGGCATGCGAGGGCCTTCTTTCTTAACACTTCAGTAACTTAGTATCCTGTCACACTTTGGGATTTTTGCCAATCTGACAGATAATAAATGCCATCTTCATGTAGTTTTAATTTGTGGTTTTCTTATCATGGAGGAGGCTAAGTATATCTTTTCTTAGGTTTAAGGAAACATCTGTGTTAACTTTTCCCTGATATGACTTGACTGTCCTTATAAGGGTGGCCTGTTCTGTGCTGGATGGGCTCCCTGTCTAGAAGAGGTGGGCCAAGGCAGGAAGGGCAGGTAGCAGCTCCCTGGGTGGCACTAGGTCAGGGATGGAAATGAGCTGGGAAACTTCTGCTTTAGTCTCATTTTCTGGAGAAATAGCCAAGGAGGGAAATCCTCACAGCTTCAGGGGCCTCATGGGGCCCCAGACGCAGAGGGTAGGATGTCCTGCCTTCCAGAGATCAGGCTGGGGGGAGCTTCCTTCTCACAATGGGTCCAATCCGATCGAGTGGGGGCTACAATAATTTTGGCTCTGATCTACATCCAGGGTCCCGTGCCAGTGCTGATATATGCTCCTTAAGTCTAGGAGAGGTAGGAAAGTGATCCTACTTGTCAGGTGCTTCCAGAGGTCATAGACTGTCATCTCCTCCCCGCCCTCTTCAGGAGGAGCTTGTCTAAGAATGTACCTTTGATTCTCTTACATTACTTGAATAGCTTTATTTTGCACAAACGATAGAAATCACGAACTGTTCGTATTTCTTTTGAGGGCCACAGACTTTTCAGAGCCTAATCTGTGCCTCAAGGTAACAGCTCAGGACACAATGACCTCCCTGTCTGCTTTCTAATTCCGCCTTACCCAGTTTTCGCCTTCCCTTCTAATTTGTATTTTACCGGGTGCTAACTTTTATTTATTTTTTATGCCTTTGAAATGCATCCTTGCATGCTTCAATTCCTTTAGGCAAATAAATAACAAAGCAACCAACCAACCCACAAACAAACAAAATATATATAATAGCTTCCTCCAGATAGAGCTCGCACTCATGTCTACTTTGTGTAGTGGACTGATCACACCCAGGCCTGATCTAGGAGATTCAGGGGCCGGCAGCAGGAGGCCACTGTGGAAGTCCTGGTCACTAATCTTCCCCCACAGCAGAACTTTTGTCAAGAAGCCATTTTGGGCAACATTATAGGAAACTCTATTTGAAGGGTATCGAACCTGCTGTCTGCAGGCTGCATGCTGATTTTGTGAGGACTTTCTTTTTGCTTATTTGTGTTGTTGAATTGAATAAAAGAATGTAGGATTTTTTTTCTTTTTGCTAATCAGCTTTTATTAGTGTTTGTGGATTTAACATGTAGTCTAAGAAAATTCTTATTCTTCCAATATGTGGCAAAAAAGAAAAAAGGTTGGACACCCCTGTTCTATTTCTTTTCTTTTTCTTTTTTTTTTTTCTTTTTTGAGACAGAGTCTTAGTTTCTCGCCCTTGGTAGAGTGCTGTGGTGTCATAGCTCACAGCAACCTCAAATTCTTGGGCTCAAGTGATTCTCTTGCCTTAGCTTCCCAAGCAGTTGGGACTGTAGGGGTCCACCATAATGCCCAGCTATTTTTAGAGACGAGGTTTTGATCTGGCTCAGGCTGGTCTTGAACCTGTGAGCTCAGGCAATCCACCTGCCTTGGCCTTGCAGAGTGCTAGGATTATAGGTGTGAGCCACTGTGCCCAGCCATGTTCTATTTCTTGATGTGTACTGGCATGCGGCAGCCCCAGCCTCACAAGTCAATGTCTTCTTAGGGGTAATGCCAGCTACTTCCTTACCTTTATTCCTTGGCCAAGGCTTTCCAAGGAATTAATATCCAGCCCTTCCTTGCAGGCCTGCAAGCAGGATATCACCTTCTGGCTTTCCATTTTTCCAGGGCGGATGGTGAGACTGGCCAGGCTGCCATGAAAGAATTGAGCAAACCGAGGTTTGGTGACTTCTCCTCCTGAAAGAAAAATCAGCAGGGTCATTGTGAAGCCTGGGTAGGAAATACACCACCTCAAGGCACCATCTGGCCATGGAGCTGAAGACACCTTGACTGTATATCCCCCAAATTTGAGCTTTTCTTTCTGCCTGGTGAGTGCAGGAGCCAGAATCTCAACAAGTTGATATTATATGCTGCTAACACCCTGGAACTCCCTGGCTGCACCAGATTGAGCAGTCCTGGCATTTCTGAACTTAAAAGTTACTCTCACGGGCATACTGTCTTAGGAGATAGGAGGAGTCTGCAGAGTAAACACAGGAGTGAGAAGGAAGCTGTCACTGCATAAAGGCCTGCTGTGCACTAGTCTTTCTGCCAGGGACTTCATCTGCCTGCAAGGAAGGTATTATTGTTTCCAGTCTGGGGTGAAGAGCCCTGAGGTTCACAAAGGTTAAGGTTCTTGCCCCAGGACGTACAGCTGAACACTGAAGCTGGAACTCTACTTCTGGTCTGTCTGAATTCATAGCTGGCATTTGCTTCCCTACATTTCACTGAGAGCTTGGCATGCAATCGAGGAATCCTAGAAACACTACACTTACGGGCTCTGGCTTTTTCTCAATGTGTGGATTTCATACCTGCTCAAATGCAAAAGCTTTGGCGTGTAAATACTTCCCCGATTCTCTCCTGCTTTTGACTTTCCCCTCACTGCCTGCTTCCTGCTCTCTGCTGTTCTCTCTACTGGTTGTGCTGAGTCCCATGGGAGGCTGGGTCTTCTCTTACCCATGTGCAAAAGTTCAAAGCACTCATGTTGCAAAACCAGCCTGAAAGCCATCCCCGCCCCCTTTCTCCAAATCAAGCCTTCCCCAGGAGCCTTCTCCACTGACTACTGAGCATAGGCCATTTCCATCTATCTATGCTAAACTTCCATAGAGTCAGCCTGGATCTTACGCTACTCTGTTCAGAGAGGATGCAGAATGCATGGGAAGGATGGACCTGGATGGAATTCCAGTTTTGCTAGTTCCCCAGGGTTTTGCAGGCTCTCTGAGCCCCTGGTTGCTCGTAGGACACACTATTCCATTGTTCTTTAGAGTTCTCTTTACTTCTTACTCACCAATCCATAGGACTGCTGGGCTTTGCCTCCAGGTTCCCCTGGGCTCTCTTAGCAGCTACTGCAGCTCCCCAGTGCCTGGTGCTACAATGCACAGCCGGCAGCTTCCCTGGAACTCTGTGCTGCCAGGGGTTTGGTAACAGAGTGTGCTCAGTGACACTCCTCCCTGTGAATGGCATCTCTAGCTCCCCAGAGGGCATATTTCCAACCAGTGACACTTCTCTGCCATTCTGTGTGGTGTGCTGTGCAGACAAAATCTGGACCTCATCTTGGGGCAGGCAGGCTGTCCCCTGGGTTGTCTATCTCAGCCCTGGGGTAGCAGACACTTCTGATATACACTATTCCACTGTTCTTTAGAGATCTCTTTACTTCTTACTCACTAATCCTTTGTTACTCCCATCTACTGTTAGAGTTAAGAATTGTTTATGTTTTTCTGTTGAGATTACTGTGTGGTTTCTCTCTCCTGATTAGATCCAGACAGGTAGACCTTCCATGTTTGCCCACATACATTTGCTTGCATCCTTTCCTCCTCATGCTGAGACATTGCCCCCAAATTGCTCAAAACAGGCAAATCTTACAGTTCTTTAAAGGTCCTTTAAGGCTCTGTCCCCTGCTGCTCATGGAAACCCTCCAAGAGCCCCTGCCCACCAGGCTCTTCTTGACATGAGCCTTGGAGCACTGACAGTTCATTTTAACGTGCCCTTCACTGCCTGGTGTTGTTAGCTAATGGTTTACATGTGCGTGTTTTATGTCCTCAATAGCTTTAAATGGTGGTTCTTAGCCTTGGCTACACAGTTTAATCATCTGGAGGTCTTTGGAAAGACAAAATGATGCCTGGTGCTGGGTCTCACCCTGAGGGATTCTGAACTAATTGGCATGTTGGCTTTTAAAAGCTTCTTAGGTGAATCAAATGTGAAGTCAAGGTTAAGAACCACCGAGCTATAAGCTGCTTATGCTTGGGCCTCTTGCACACTCCTCTTGTGATCTCTACGCTTTGTGCCGCCCGCAGGCTTACTCTTGCTACTCTGCTCACACTGCTATAATTTATTAGTTTGAGTTTCTCCTCCTGGATGGCAGGGATCACTCATGCATTATTCATTTTAATGAACACAATCTGGAGCAAGTGTTAGGGGCTGAGTGCTGCAGCACGCACTTGGCCCAAGTCAGCTCGTTTATTTCTTTCAACGACACTGGGCTTCTTAAGGTCCCTTGGCATCCTGCACCCTGCCTCCTGCCCAGCACACAGCAGACATAAGTGCTTGCTGAACTGAAGGAGATGGAGTCCAATACCAGTAGCGGGGTGAGCACTGTGGTTGTCTTCCTCTTATTCATCTCACTCCTTCTCTTTTGCCGAGGCAGCCTGGAGGTTTGGGGGTTGACTCAAGCTCTAGGGATGAATGCTCTTTAATTTAAGCTAATTAGGTTATCCCACCTCTACCGCAACAGTGATTGGTTCAAGGATGGACCTGGGACCCAGGATGAAGCCAGTCTGCACCTGCCAGTCAGTAAGCCATAGGGATTGGTCTAAGAATAATTGTGAGACCAAATTTAGGCCAGTATCATGAGAAGTTGACTGTCAGCTTCTGCATCAAAAACTTCCATTTTTCTCTTTCAAAAGTTTCTGGAATCAATTCTTTCTTTCCCTGGAGACTGTTGTGTAAGCTGCTACAGCTATCTTGCCAGTAGACTGGGGACTTCATGGATAAGGGCAGTACCAGGAGAGTCCCAGCAGGGCAGGGCAGAGCCCTGAGTAGACCCTCCCTGCTCTGCCTCACAACATCCTCAACGGGAGGAGCCACTCGTCTATCTTCAGAGCTTGAGCCATTTTGACCCACAGTATTGTTACTTGCCACCCACAGCTTTGGAAATGAAAGGAGAAGTTTCTTTTGAAGTGTTTGATTCATAGGAAACTCTAAACAGACTTGGTTTCGAGGAATGACCTGAGATGGCCATGGCTATGGGGGAGCTGATTGGGACCTTCTGATTAAGATCCTCAAAGCCTCCATGGATAAAGACCTCCTCCAAGCCGTGAGCAGGTCCCTGACCTAGCAAAGGGGCCTCTTTATTGACCTGCAAGGGAGGAAGGTGTGAGCCTGGGGGTGAATGGTAGAGTTGCTACTTCCCAGGGCATCCAGTTGGCCATCTTCTTTCTGCCTCTTCCCCTCCTTGGAGCAGCAGATCCAACAACTACTGTCACATACTGGGCACTGAAACATCCAGTAATATTTCCCTAACACCATGTGACATCCTTAACATACGTCACCTCACTGGATCTTCTCTGGGAGGTAGATACTCATTCTATGGTTACCCATGAGTAAACTTTGGCTTAGAAAGGGGAAGTAAGTGCCTAAAGTTGTATGGGTTGGAAGTAGTAAAATGAGTTCCTACATCAGTCCATACACAGGACAAGCTGGGTGCCCTGGTGGTGCCAGTCAGCCTGGTCCACAGTGAGGCTTGGAGAAATCCCAATGGGGCCCATCCCCCAGCCCTCCTCGACAGCCCACTCAGCAGCTTTAGCCTCCAAGGCCAAACTTTGTGACTGTCTTGGATGCTGAGACAGTTCCCTCCATGCTGTTTTTCTCAGCAAAATACACTCATGTTTTGTGTTTTTGACTCAAGAATTCCAGCTCTGTGATTCCAGCACTATTTATTAGTGACGAGGCTCCAGGAAATTGATTCAATTAGCATTTTGCAATAGGAGGCCATCATAAAACTTGAAATGAGTTTGTACTCAGGGACAGTTGTGATGCAGGATTTTTAAAAAATAGTAGACACACTGGAAGTCTCTTTCTTTTAAATATCTTGGATATCTTCACGAACCTCACAGCTCTTGTTAGTTATAATTTAGACATAAACATGCTTGTGAGTCACTTTAAGAAACAAAATAACCTGATTTCATCCATCAAGAATCTTCTTTAAATATCTGTGGACACAACTTTGGATTCATATTTTTAACGTGGTTGCTACGTGCCTAGGCTTTTTATTAGATTTGCTTAATTTAAGATGTGGGTCATGCTCTTCAGGAACTTAAATTTAGTTGGATAACAAAGTATAGAAGCTGTGAAAGTACAATAAAAATCTAAGAGTAAATTGTCCGTATAACATATGTTCTAAGGTGTGACATGATTAATTTCCAAACATGCAGTGTAGACAATGTGTCCAATAGGTAAGAGGAGAAAAATAACCATCATTTATTAGGTCCTTCAAATGTGGCATTTTCTTTCATATGCTATTTTATTTAGTCCTTAACAGAGAGGTGGTATTTTTGATGTCTTAGCCTCTGTTTTTTTTTTATTATTATTTTTCCCTAGTATTTCTCCCATATTACCTTATATTCAAACACACTCCTGGCTTGAGGGAGCGTCATGGCAGGGAGAGCAGTAGAAGGATCCCGGAGCTGAATCTCTACCCTACTGTGGCTTCTAGAAGCCTAAACCCTTAGGAGGATGGGCAATATCTGGGAATAACGCGATCAAGTCTTGGGAGAAAATAGAGGAAGAGAATCTGGCTTCCTCCCCAAATTGGAAATGATACTTCAGACATGGGAGTGGATGTGGTGTTGGCAGGGGGAGGTAGAGAGAAATAAAATACCAGAAGTGCGGAGGGAAGGTATCAGGAGAGCCCGCCTCCTGGGCTGAGCCCTGGCAGAAGTGTGAGATGCCTACAGAGGGTGTTAGCCTGGTGCAGCTGCCAGTGGGCTGCAAAGCTCCAGTAGAGAATGCATGAGAGAAAGATTCATGTTCCCCTAAGTTAGGCAAGGCAATATCAAGACAGCTGCCAGCTTTAAAGAACCATCAATGACTAAGGATCAGAATGGGTGAGCACCATTTCAGTGAATGCCCATATGGAAAGATGATGGGAGCATGCCACCCCCCCCCCAACAAAAATACCCCGGCACCCTAAGGAAATGGAAGAA